AATATTGTTTAATCATTATTATTAATACTATCCGATATAACTAAAGTACAAAATGTAATTATAAGTATGTGGAAAATTATACAATCATGAGTTTCCAAAAGGTCTCTTTTTTAGGTCTGTAGCGGAGTTACCCTCTGCTTTTGGTTTTAACTTAAAAAATAGTTGCAATATGCATATAAGGTTATTTAAATTATAGTAATTGGCATTACACTGACACTATAATAATAACTAACACTATAATGATTCTTGCTAGAAAAATGGTACGGTCCTCGTTATATATGCTATACTATTTTCTAGACGGAAAGTTTTAGTCTTATATATAAGGCATAAGATTGAAAATCGCAGAAATAACTCTAATTAGAATGGTAGGACTATAATGACACTAATTATAATAGTTTCAACCTTATGCGTACATGTGAAAGGCTAAAAACTATGTTAAAAATTCAATTGAGGGAATGACACAGCATACATAACTCCGACTGTACATTTGACTATAATTCCTTTACTTATACGATTATAGATGCAAATATAAGGCAATTTCTCTCGGTGCATTTAAACATCTGTAAGTATGCTTGTCGGATGTACAGAAATTTTATTAAATTTAAGAAATTTGTCGCAATTGTTATTTTTAAAACGGATAATTTAAGATACGAGAGAAGATAGTGTATCGATTGCATACAGAAAAAACAAAACAATTTTACACGCTTTGAGAAAAATATTCTACGTTCACATACGTTCAATAATTCAAGATCCGACAACTGTGGAATCTGAAGTTTTCGTTCAGGTCAAGTTGACCCATGAGTACCGAGAAAACCAGACACCCACGATTAATTTCAAATTTAACTTCTAGTCGTGCGTCTTCTCAGCAGAAGCCAGCTTTCAGCGCGCGAATCTCGTCCCGACGTTTGAAATCGGAGAACGTCCGCTCGAACGTATTAAAGACATGTTCAAGAGACGTATTTAACTATCTATCCGCTCTACGCTTAGAACAACGCTCCCTCCGGTATCTTTTCGCGGATGCTTCGGTTGCCCCGCGCGAGAGCGAGTAGTTTCGTTCACGGAGCGTTTGTTGCGTGCGTGGTGCATGCGCTCGAGAGAAAGAGAGAGAGAGAGAGAGCACGTTGGCCCACGCACGTGCTTACGAAGGCCCACGCGTTTCTTAAATACGAGACGCGTCAGCTGCGTAAAGAGCCGTAGGCCAGCCGCGCGTATATATATGAGATAGGCGTATACACCTCCGTAGCCTTTGTCCGGCTCAGGATAATTGTCCACGCGCGCGGCCGGCCATCGGCACCGCGATATCGGTGTCGGATTCTGCCACACCTTCGGCCATTGTAAATCAATCGGCATGTACCGAATCCCTCCTGCCGAGGCCCCGGGGCCTCCTGCGTTACATGGCCACGCTAGGTGCGCGCGTGTCCGCGCCTTATGCGTGTGGGAATTGCGTAACGCGTCGCCGCCGCATCATCGCTCTCCGTTCCACAGGGGGACACAAACATTACTCGCCCGTCGTCGACGAAAGCAGAGCTTTCTCTCTCCGGCCACGCTCTCGCTCGTTCGCCTTTGTGTCACGCGGAACGTAACGCGCGCGCGATGTCGAAGGCGAGCAAAGGGGGAAGAAAGGGATCACGCGCGCTGAAGATGTCCCACCGGTGAGACTCGATTCGCACTGTCCGTCCCCGGACCCCCGGGTCGAGATTTTCATTTTACTTGGACGCTCCTAACGCTTATCCTTCATGTTAGCATATTAATCCTTTACTTTTGGCGCATTATTTATATATACATGTATTCATATCGTTAAAACTATAATTAAAAATCCGGTTTTCTCCATTTTCCCACGGATTTGTTTAGTCTTTTTTTTTTTTCAAAAAGTAGAAAAATTCGTTTAGGAAAATTCACGTGTGTTCAATTAAAATCTGCCACATTTACTTCCTCCCGAGTAAAGAAAATAATTACGTGTACTTAACCGAATTGCTCAGCATGTAACATATAAACTTCATTTAACTTCAATTAAGGTGCACTCGGTAATATTGTGCTTAATATATAAATAATAATATTGCTTAACATGTAACATGTTAACTTCATTTAACTTCGTTTAACTTCAGTTAAATGTACACAATAATACTGCTTAACATATAATAATAATATTGTAGGGATTTTGGTTGGAAATGAAATTCTTCCTCCGCGTGTTAGATTTTAGTCTTCGACGTGGGACAAATGATGAGTAGGAGCTTCAATTGAATAAAGCACAGAAAGTTGTATTTCTCGTATAATAATACAATGATACAACGTGTGCGACTCGAGTCAAATAATGCGATTAGTTCCCTCGGTTTCTGACGAACCACTCGTTTCTCAACAATCCTGTCGATCGTACTATTTGACTAGAGCGAAGCCATCTCATGGTATTATCGGCTAATCCTGCGGGAAGCGTGATTCCTACATTCGGCCATTTCAAACGCTCCCTCGATCCCTGAAGGATACACAGTATACGGTTTCATCTAAAATCAGCTGCTGTCGTCGCGATCTCCGAGCTTTCGTCTTTATCGACTTTAACAACTTCGTATCTATCGTTGCCTTTAATTTGCGATACTCGATATCCGCACGGAAGCTTGCAGCAATATTGCTGCAATATTGCTGTTTATTATAACGCTGATTTTCTATTTGAAATTTTAGAATAATCTGCGTTACTGTATTTCGCAACTGATCGCACTCGTCATTGAAATATTGATATTTTTGTTCTATTAAGGAAAATATTCGAACATCTTCACGGTGTTTCATTTTTTTTTCTAAAAAGGTTTTCGAAAGGCACATCTTTTAACAACAATTTACGTGTTGGTGCTATCGGTCAGGAGTATCGAACGACAATTTTATTAAAATAAGGATAATAATAATAGTTGGCACAATCTATCGTTGATAGGTTATTCAAGCTGCCCATTGCCTTATGACACGTAGTTATCGCGATATATTCGGTATTTTCTTTAGCACAATAATCGTTAAAATAAGACGCGAAGGCTGCGCCTTTATCAGTTATAACACGCTACGGGTTACTGAAAAGCTATTGTATCTTAGCGAATTTATTTAAGATTTCTTTAGTATCAATGATCGTGGTGGAATAAATTTACCTGAATCTTAAAAATCCATCTACTATAACTAATACTTAGTCTAACTATTATAAGTACTAGTATAACTACTAATAATAATAACTAGTACTTGTACAATTTGTCATTAGATGTAATTGTCATCAGATTTAAGTGATCGAAACCGGCCGGCCATCATAATAAGTGCTGAAAGACACGTCACCCTTAAGTATAAATCGCAATTCATCTTTTTGTTTACCTTTCTTTCTCTTAAATGATACATATGGTATATAATATTTTATAAAGTTCTCTACTTTATCTTTCAAACGGAATATAATATTCGTCTTGGACGGTTTCCCGTTCACTTTTATAACTCCAAAATGTCCATTTACGAATAGTATCGTGATACATATCTGATAATACAACAACTTTATCGCTTGTTTATTTCATTCACAACCCGTTTTCGAATACATAACCTTCATTAAGTTTCTTAAATAACAATTGTTTAATAACTCATAACCATTCCTCTTTATCCTATTTATTTCAAATTTTTTTTACTTTCTCCTTTACTACGCGGTTGCAATATCTGCAACATCGGTTGTAATAATCAGCTGGGTTGGCTGCTTCCATTATATTTAGTCATTATAATGCCGAAAAAAAGCATCGATTGACTCTTCTAATTTTTAGGTTGGTTATATGTTATTATAAGAATCTTCTGTGAAGATCTAACATATATTTGGTCTTTTGATTCGAGAGTTTCGGCCTCCAGTTATTAGGCCACTTACGAGTACACTTGGGTGTTGGGACATTCCTGATATCGCTTGCTATGTAACTGGATCTCTTCTCTCACAGTTGGAATGTGTGTTGTAATATAGGAAACGGTTGCTGACAAACCAGGAGACGTTGAATAATGTCCTAAGGATTTTCGTTTGAAATCTTTCCGGTATATCGATGTTTGACTTACTTGCTGTACCCCATAATTGAATGCCATACGTTCATATGGGTTCGAGGATGACTCTATGTATCGTTGCTTTAGATTCTGTCGTCATTTTTAATCTTCGTCCTATAAATAAGTAGATATTTCAGACTTTTGTATCCGGTTGCTGTCTCTTTGTTCGTATGTGCTTCTGCGTGATTAGTCGACGATTCAACTAGAGTCCAAGCTATTTAACTACGTTTGCTTGTGAGATGGAGATTTCAAATTAATGCTAAAACTGTGTTTTTTCAATCAAAACCAGAAATCTGCTAAATGTATTTGTATGCTTCATATGCTGTCCGACGCGGTGTTCAATTTCATAATCGAATTCATCGAGAACGAACGCCCATCCGGCAATTTTCGGCGATATAGTTTCTTTATGCAACATTTTCCGAAATGCTTGACAATCGGTCGTTATCTTAAATCTTTATCAGTCGTTATCTTAAATCTAATTCTCCACATAAATAAACATGAAACTTCTTCATAGCTTTAATTATAGCTTAAAGCAAGAATTATTTTGCGTTCCTACGTGACATGTCGGCCAGATATCTCAGTTTCCCGTACATTTTACAGGTCTCAAGATTACGAAATCATTGTGTTTCTCAGGGAAAATAAAAAAATAAAACTACATGTCGCAAGAAACTTTCTGTACGTCATTTCTCGCTTCTGACGTCATAAAACAATATGGCCGCCCGAGAGGTAGCCGAGCCTTAAACATATAATGATGAAATAACCTTGAAGATCCAAGATCAATGCGTAAAAATTGCGAAAAATACGGAGAAATCTGGAAGAATCTGACGTCACAGATTTCTAGCAGAGCTTGCTATGAATTTTTGATAGCAGAAAGGTAAATAAATCTAATACAGGATCTGTTCTATCAGATTATATTGCCAGAAGTGCTGTCAGAAATGCGACGGAGCCTGCAGACAGGCAACCCAGGCAGATTATCAGCAGAAATCCAGCGGAGCGATTTGAACGGCAAATCGGTAGCAGAAATCGAGCAGATCTCGCTGCGCGCAGTTTCTGCGCGGCAGGTTCTGCGCGGTTTCCGCTGCCAATCCGCTCGGATTGCAATCTGTCAGCGGACTCTGTCGGCAAAATACGGGCCGAAAGCGGACACAGATGGCTATGGTTTTGGTGCGGGATCCTGTTCAAATTTGCTGCCAATCTGCGCGCAGTCTGCGATCAATTCGCTTACTGGATGCATTCGGCGCATCGGTACATATGATATACTCCCAAATATATACGTAACAGGCAGCCTCGGTCAAAAGTATCAGAACGCGAGGAACGATTATTTTTTTACAAACTTTTAGACGTTACACAAGTGTGATTTCGATATTCTCTCGCTACAATGCGAAAACTTGTATCATTGTATTTATAAACATTTAGCGTAGATTTGTAGAGCTTCTTCGTGTTGTATTAACCATTACTTTTCTAACAATATCGTTACGAACCAGGTTGCTAGAATAAAAAAAACGTGATGTCAGGGCATCCATTATAGAATCGTTCGAAATAGATTCGATCGTTTTATCAAATCAAAGAAGAGCGGTAATTCTGTTTCGGAGCAGCGCGACGATTAGCTTTTAATAGACTGAAAGATACTTCGTCAAAAGAGGCAGTTCTTAGAACACACGATCTACGAGCGATCACAGAACTACATACGGACGCGAGTAAACAAGGAGCTACGGAGCCGCTCTTCTCCAGAGAGAAGTTACTGAAAAAGATATTCATCCGGTTTATCATATAAGTCACAAAAGTACCGAAGCCGAGGTGAAAAGGCGCTCTCATAATCTCGAGGTTTCAACCACAATTAAGACCGTGAAGAAGCTTCACGTTTATCCACCTGGAAAATTCGATGTAAGACCACCGGTTGCCAAGCATTTCAGGAAATATTGCCCGAGCCACCTTAAGTATCGAAGAATGTTTACGATCGACAGACGCTCGCCAGACGGACAATACGAATCCAGCTTAGAGCGGACTCGAATATTTCAAACGTGACTTACGAAAAGTAAGCGCGCGCGCGCGGATAAATATGAGATACGAAGCCGGCAGCGCGGTTTCCGGTCCGCCGTGTGCAATCTCCGATGGTAATCCCGACGAGAACGCCCCCGCTTTGGCTCGGCGAGAGCGCCGGCCACGACGACCCTCGAAAACCTCGGGGCGACGCGCATACGTAATTAGTTTTTCGCGTTAAGCACGTCCGCGTATGCTCATGCGCTCGCGAGTCGCGGCGCGCAACACGCTCCACGAAATCGTGATCTCGCGCGAGGATGCGCGACGTGGTGTGACGCACACCGACGACGACGACGACGACAAGGACGGCGGTAACGGCCGGCAGTTCTCTCTTGCCGGTTTCGCGGACGACCGTTTCACTAGCCCGTCATCATCCCTCGCCGCGCTGCCACCGTCTCCCCACCTTCCCCCTCCCCCGTCGCTGTCCATCGAGAGCGCTCGCGTTCACCGTAGAAACTCGAAATTGGAAAACGGTCGGCCCAGAACCAGCGAAATTAATTGAAGTCTGAGTGGCGAACGATGAAGGGGCTGAGGCAGGCGGCCGCGTGCAGAAAGAGGAAAACTCGAATGTGCGGCGGGGTGGGGGGGGAAGAGTAGAGAGAAGGGTGTGGGCGAGGGGGTGGCGAGGTATAGGAAAGAGGAAGGGGGCGGAATATCGGGGGGAAAAAGAACGATCACAGAGGGATGAGTATGCGGGGGGGATGGGGGGAGAGGTGGACCGATTGCGGAACTTGGCGCAACTTCGCGCAGGCAGACTGGACACGATGCTCGACCAGCCAACCGGACCTTCCTGATAGCCAATACGGGGTCTCTAGGCGAATTTCCTGTACATCCGCGTGCGAGCATACATCCCGGGCCGCCTCGCCATTTATTGCGGAGAATTTAGGTTTTCCCTTCGTTGTTTTCCCCGCCGGCGCGCGACCATTTGCAGATTGGCGGGGGATAAGCAATAATCTATAACGGGCGAGAACGGACAAACGGACGGACGGTGGCTTTGGTCCGCGCGCGAGAAGTTGCCCGGCATCACCGAGACGGCGGCGCGAATGTGTACATACACACACATGCGCGCACAGTCGATAATGTCCGTCCGTGTTCTTCATTTAATTTAATTAAGCGCGGGAAGAACGCCCTGTAACGCGGGCTAATTAAGCCGGGGACGTGGACGGATTATCGCGGTGTTTAGATTATTACTGAACTCTAAGTAAATGATATAATGTCAAATGAGCGCTGTAATAGGATCTAACGCGAACGCGGGCTATCGGTTTGAATTTGTCGAATTAATCTCTCGATGGGCCGAAATTCGCGAACGGGTGTGTGTTCGACGTTACTCGGCGCTCCGCTCGCGGTTTCGCACGTTTCCCCGTGTTGACATTTTGATGCTGCTTTTACGCTCCTTGAAATACGCTCCCGAAAATATTCGCGTCTAGTCAGACGGCTTACAGACTAGTAAAATCTTACTTCGACGATACCACATCCCGCATAGAAAGTTTCTCGGGTTCTAATTGGGACGGCTAGGCTGATCCCCGGAATAATTATGGATTCCAAGTGGGCAATTTTTGCGGGAGATTTCGGTTGGATAGTATAATGTTTCAAGTACTGATTCGAAGTGGGAAACATAAGCAGATCCTCTCTGGTCACTTCCAAAGTTTCCCTATAGTTTCCTTCTAGTCTTTATTTCACGTTACGGTTAAACCAAATATGTGAAGTATTTTAAGTTTTCTACTTTACAAGTATATACGTTTACACGTTTACACGTTACGTACGCCTTATTAAGCATTCGTGGACGACCGTTTAAAATATAACAAATTTAGCCAAATTTTGTACAATATATAGTAAATATAAATATGATACAATATATAATAAATATAAATATAAAAATAATATATAGTTAATATAATAAAATATAATACGTGTTTATTAACCATCTAATCTCATATTCAGTCAAATCTGATATTCCATCACTCGATTCTGACGTTGACGGTCGCACATGGTACGAAGCAGGTCACGATGTACAGCCAATCAGCATCGCGGAAAAGAGACCACCCCAATTTGGAATAAGAATAGAATTTTCCCAATTGGCATCCTATTAAGACATATTTTGTGACAATTTCAGTTTTCTAATTGAAATCTGTGTTGTACAGCGGAAAATCCGGGAAAATTTCTATGCGGAGGATTGATCAAATTCCCCTCCTCAATCTCCAATTCTACAGATCTCATTTCAACCATAAAACAACCCACTTTTGCGCGCTAAAACAACAAAAACAAAACTTTAAGACATCATCATGCTCGAGAAGTGGGAGTGAATGATATCAGAATTGAAATTGAGCCTTGCTATCTCAGCTCCTCTACTGCGATGCAAAACGTTTCCCGTGGTTTCACATTGAAGTCACATTGAAGCCGAAGTCCCTAACGCGGTCTCGAACATTTCTCATGGCGCGGCGCGGACTATCAACGCGATCAAGACCCGACCCTGTATCAATTATCTCTCTGTCTCTCTCCCCCTCTCCATTAAAGGCCAGTCTGCGCGATGGAGCGTTTCTCAGAAAGATAATCTCTGGAAACAGCAAACAAGTAGCAGCTGTGGGTGCCTCTCGATCGCGCCGTACGGCAAATACCGATAACCAATTCGCGAAGGATACGACAAGAGGAAGCGGAGAATCGCATACGGGCGACGTGTGGACGGACGGCCGACGCGCAGATATGACGTCGCGCGCACCTTCCATTCGCGGAACTGCATTTCCTATAATCTACGAGCAATCACTTGATAATTGGCTAGTCTGGCCCTACGTACATACACACACACACACACACACACATGCGCCCGGTGTGCCCGTCCTCGCGCATCCTTCCATTTGGACATCCTCAGACGGTCACTCGTAAAATGAAAATCCGGTGGACAAACGTCGTTTAATTATCGCCGCCGCTTATCGTACACACACGGCGACGGGCTCGCGCGTGATGAAAGTCACAGATGAGCCCGGTTGAAATTTCGATGCTGCTTTGACGCTCTTAAAGACAATTCCTGTTTCATCACGCGAACGTTGGGTAAACATCTCAGAAACGTCGCGTCGCAGATGAAGGTAGCGAAATCGAACGTTGCGAAATGCAGATTCAACATTGAAAAGTCATTGCAAGAATGTCCGATGCCTGCCGAATTATAACGTCTTGTGGACGTTCAACGTTTAGAAGACGTTTGTTTTCTGAAACTAAAGGAGATAGATGTAACAAATGTGATATCGCACAATTTATTTGGATATTATATTTGTTAGGTCTGTATTTGTCTCTTGTAATTTAAGAGTAAAAAGTCACTTCTCATGAATCTCTCCCTTTGAATGGTTTCGATCTCGAACGGCGGTCGGTCGTTTGTTTGTTTCTTAGTCGTGGTCGCTTAACTTCGATGATTAAACGACTAGTAATTATTCCAATGGCTCTGATGATATTGCTGTGATTTATGCTTGTATAATGTATTTTTATTCACTCACGCGCACTCACAAATATGTGACATATTTACTGATAGACATTAAAAACAACGTAACAACAGTTGCTACGCGACAGATATTAATATAATTAATATAATTAATATAATTAATATATATGATAGAGCATTTTTATCTCATGAATTAAAGGAGATATGTGGACCTAACAAATACAACATTAAATTACTATAAACGCCATATAAATGATCATATTTTTAGAATTCTGTACGCTTAAAAATTTATTTTTTATTAAATAAAATTTTAATATGTATTATATTATTTCATATTTTCATATCTCTATCTGTGAATTTCAAAAGATAGTAAATTGTTCAACATTGTTTTATCGTTGTAGCAACATAACTAATGTAGAATAATTGAAAAATGTACGTTGTTTCAACTTTGAAAATATATCTTTGAAAATATATCTACACTTCACATTCAACATTGCAACGTATCAACAATGTTATTTCTACTTTCTGTGCTATATGGAATTCCATTTAGATGATCTGTAGACTAACAAAAACCTACGTTGACAATAACGACACTTGTTTAACTTCTATCTTGAGTCTTTAATTCTGCAGATTTTATTTTAATGCTGCTTTGAACAATCAGTTTTGATGCTAAACCAGAGAAAACGAAAATTTAAGACATTATCAGAGTCGAAGTGAGAGTAAATTATATCATAATTATATATATTAGAATTGAAATTGTACCTATTTTGCTACTTTAGTTTCTACCGTGTTGTAGAGCTAAAGATTTAACTCTGACAGTAACATGTTAGGCCTACGAGACCTACACGCGTTTTCTTTCGCGTTTCTCTTCCACGTTTTGTGTAATGTGCTACATTTCACTTCAATTTCTCTATTAGTAAAAAAAGTTGGGTCCATGTGACCACTGCTATTATCAGCCCGATCCGATGAAATAACTGGTTTCTTAGCGGCAACCAGTCTAAGCCAAAAGCAATAAATAAAAGAAACGTGATTTTTCGCAACGTGATAAATAGAATC